ATAGAAAGCAAATTTTCATTTTAATAAACAGATTGAAAATTTCCATAGAAGTTATTGTGACTCATTTCTGGTTATATCCAAAAAGAAAGTCAGTTCTTTTGATGTTCAGATAACAGTGTTGAAGAACATCTTCATTTCAGTTGTAATATCTTTATAAATATCAAAAGGTAAATCGCAGTACTGTATATAAATTTAGTGTTGCAGGGTCATGGGTTTTTTTAGTATTGTCATAGGAAAAATTTCCATAGAAGTTATTGTGACTCATTTCTGGTTATATCCAAAAAGAAAGTCAGTTCTTTTGATGTTCAGATAACAGTGTTGAAGAACATCTTCATTTCAGTTGTAATATCTTTATAAATATCAAAAGGTAAATCGCAGTACTGTATATAAATTTAGTGTTGCAGGGTCATGGGTTTTTTTAGTATTGTCATAGGAAATTAGAGACATGAAAACATTTTTGCAGAGAGCTTCACTTTTAGCTTGTTTTATGAAGAAGAAACAGATGCAAAACCACTGGTGTAATTAACTTTATACATGAATAACCAATGGAAGGCCGTATCATTGAGCTCTATATCAATCACAAAACAAGAAAACTGCTTGCTTCATCAATTATTAGCAATTCTCAGCAGGGGTAATTAGGAAAAAAGGATGAGATTTCGAGTGCTTAACGAAATCAACAAAAACGGATTAGACTCCAGTTTATGCTTCTCAAAAACCTTATGTTTGGCCTCAAAGAGTCCAATTGCCCAGTCTACCACACTTGAGAATCATCTTCTGCAGGATAAAAACAAAAGTCTAAGGCTTTTTTATTTCCAAAAAAGAACCACTGGAATATTCAAAATGTGCAGTGAGTGGCCTGTTGGCCTATACTGAAATGGAAAGGTCACCCCATTGGTTTATGTTAAAACTTCAGCAATATCTCTAAATTTCAGGTGCTTTGTGAAAACGCGTTCCTCACTCTCCCTAGCTTCTGCCGTCATGCCCAGAGTCCTGAGTCATGGATATGGTTGTATATGATTGTATATCCAGGGTTTAAAATCCCCTAAAGGGGAGATGGGGTTTCGGAAAGAGAAAGAAAAAAGAAAAGAGAAGAAAAGGAAAGGAAACGTTAAAGGAAAGGGACTGAACAAAACCGCGCGGAGGTCGAGCCGAGAGTTACTGTCCCTGCGGGACCCCATTATCTTTGCGTCTCCACAAAGGTCCCGGTGCATCCCGCCCAAAACGCGCCGCCCTGAGCGTTACCCAAGCGCAGCCCCAAGTCCCATTCCCCTCTGCCGCCGCCCCAAGTCACTGACCTGCGTAGACAAAGAGCAGGACCAATTTCGGAAGCAAGACCCCTGGACACACGCGCAGCCTCCGCGCGTCCATCCAAGCCGGTGGCCGGAGGTTGGGCGCCACGACAGACGGACGGACAGTCAGACTAGAGTGAGGACTGGGAGCGAAAGGAGAGTCCGGAAAGGGAAGGGAATGCAGGGGATGGAGGGCGGTCAGATGGCGAGAGCAGCGCTCCCAAGAGGGGAGTCGCGCGGAGACCCGGCCATTGCCCCGGGAGCCTGCGAGGGGACCCCGGGCGGCCTGGTGCCGGCCACGCTCGGGCCGAAGTCTCTTTTGTCTCTCTTGGTGGCGCTTGGCGGTGCCGGGCAAGGCGGCCACTCCTGAGTCCTGGGCCACCCGGCCTCACATTTCTTCTCTGCTGGTGGCACCGACGTGGGCTGGGGGCGGGAGTGGCCCCGACTCCTCCCCACGCTCCAGTTCTTCCTTCTAGAGAGTCATCTGGGTGTCCCTCTCCTGAAGTCACTTTGCTATGGAGTTTAGCAAGCTCCTTTATTGCCTTGTTCTGAACTTCATTTTTTTTCCCCCTCGAAGCAATGGATGAAGAAAAAACTTACTTTTTATATGTAACAAGAAATAGAGGGAATTTTCAGGGAGAAAGGTATTGGAGAAAGAAAGCCAGTGACGAAAACCGAGGAGAATTGGAAATTACAGATACAGTAAACGGTATTTCTACTGAAATCTGATGTTTGTTATTCGTTAAACACCCAAAACAGTCAGGAAAAACAAAACAGCAAGAATGCACATTATCATCACTATTATTTGACAGTATTATGAAGTTACTGGCCTATGCAATTAGATAAGAGAAGGAAAATAGAATAAAAATTGGAAGCAAAATTTTCATTTGCAAGTAATATACTCGTATACATGGAAAATCAAAGAGAATCAACTATAGAGCTCTTAACTAGAGTCGAGTGACTAAAAAACAATCATTTTCTTTCATGCAATTAAAAACCAAAGTTATCAGTTATAAGCATGAAGGAATAAAAAAATAAATAAACAGAGATACATACTCCTCTTGACTAAAAAAATTAACAGTATAAAGGTATCAAGTTTCCCTAAAGTAATCTATAAATCTGGGAAGTAAACCTACATGAATTTTTTCAAATCAATCTGATTCTAAAGTTTGCATAGAAAACAAACATGTAAGAACATCTATTTAAAATGAGTCAATGTGATAGCCTCAACAGATAATAAGTATAATATCACAATAATTAAAACAGTTTTGATTAACATTAGAATAGGCTCAAAGGAACAGAGAATCCAAAAATAGGGAGATATATACAGAAATTTAATTTAGGGATATAAAATGTATCATTTTAAAGCCAAGGGGAAAATAATAGGTTACTCAATGAATTGTGTTGGTGCCATGAGTAGGAACCTTGAAGTATTATTTTCTTTCACTGAAATCAATTCTATATGAATTAAATATTTAAGCTTAAGGATGTAATTATGAAAGTATTAGATAAAAGAATGAGAGGATGCTATTTAAAGAATGACGGAATAGAGAATGCTCTCTAAGCATTATAACCGCCCCCCTCCCGAAATCATAATAGAAAAAATTGAACAATTTGAGTCCATAAGAATTAAAATTTTCTGTATATGATAAGCCAAGCTTTTAACTGGCAAAAATAGAGAGACGCCAGATCTCCTTAACATATAAGGAGCTTAAAAAAATCAATAAAGAAAAGAAAATAACCAATAGAACACTGAGCAGGTACATTAACAGATACATATCTGTTTTCTATGTCTTCTAATCTTCTAAACATTTAGAAGATACTCATCTTTACTCCCCAAAAAGAAAAAGAGTAAAAATCAAATTGATTGTGACATATCATTTTCTGTGTATTGAATCAGCCAAAAAAAAAAAAAAAAATAAACTTTTGAGGAGAGCAAAATTCAAATGCACATGAAGTTTTATTTAGTCATATCTCTTCTAGGAATTTATCTCTAAAAATATACTGTCATATGGGCATAAGAGGATGGGAGGATATATCACCTCCAAACTAAACATATCTTGAAATCCCTAGTGAGATCTATGCCTCAGTGTAGGCCCAACCATCTACCTCATCCAACAAAAAAAGGCTGGTCAATTCCTCCTCTTTCAGCTCCAATGGCTGATCTATCACCAAGTTCCGCTATCATACACCTAAACAGCCCTCAAACAGATTTGCATTTTATCCTCTATCTCTGTCCTAATCTAGTCTCTTAGAGTTTCCATTCTAACCAGTCTCTCTACCTCTAGGAATATTCTCTAGACTGAAGCTAGAACATGTCTTATGAAACTATAGATTTAATCACATTCACTCACCTGTTTAAAACTCAATGGCTTCCTACTGCCCTTAAGTTAAAATCCAAACATTTAATCCATGGTGTTCAAGAAACTTGATTCTGCCCCTCTCAACCTGATGTCAACATTCTGCTGGGGAGCACAATTTCTAAATAACTGAGAGAATGGTTGGGATTGGAGGAAGTCTCAGATATACAGGATTTTGAATCCTAAAAGAAGAAGGTACAAATTGTAAGTCAGTGTTTGCAAAGCTAGAGAATGGTATTGAGGATTCGTGGAATGGAAAGATGCTTGTCTCTACAGATGAGACTGGATGCAGAGGCCTGAGTGGAAAGTGGTGGGGTGGGAACAGGCATCTGGTCACAGAGAGACGGCTCTTGCCCAATCATTGCACACAGCTCTGGGAGAGGTTGCCTGTTGCCATGGATGCCATAGACAGCTGCAGCATTGGTCAGAGTAGCCTCTCCTGGCTTACTTTTGAGACCAGAGGGCCTTATCCTCATATCGTTCAACAGAATGGCTAAACAAGCTTGCATGCTGGTTCACCATTGCAATAGCAATTCCACCTTAAAGTACTCAGGTGCTTAGGAAACCCAATTCAACTGACTTCCAAAAGCAAAGAAATATATCAAACCCTGCAAAGAAATGTAGCTTAAAGAATTTGAAGGAAAAATATTATGTATATATGTATATACATGTATACACATGTATGCACAAATATATATGAAATGAGACATCTTAAGAACACAGTATGAGAAGGTATAAAGAGTTTCTGGAAATTAAAATGAAACTTGATTTGAGATTTTTTTAAATCATAGAAAAATTATAAAATGGTCACAGATTTAAAAAAAAAACTCAGACTTAAATAAAGAGCACACTTCACAACATAGAAAAAAATACAAAGAAATAGAAACCATGAATAAAAATATAAAAAACACTAAGACACATAAAGGATACCTAATATGAAATAATATTCAGGTTGAAGCAGTTTTAGAAAGAAAAAAATGAAGAAGCAAACATCAAAGAGTTTTTTTTTAATTCTGAACTATAATAAAATTAGGATTTTCAGATTTAAAATGGTGAATGACTTCCAAGAAACTTTAAAAAAAGAGAGGCATGCATATATACATATCCTAGAGATGCATTTGAACAAGTATAAATTTAAAATCGTATAAATTTTCATATATAATTTAAAAAATATTTACTTAAGAATCAGAACAGGTATCAGACTTCTCATGTGCAACCTTGGAATTTAAAAAAGAGTGAAAGTATTTCTAAATTTTTGAAAGATAAAGATTATAGTCCAAGAATCTTATTTCCCAATCAGATTCCATTGATATTTGAATCCATTAAGATGTTTATAATAGTATGTGTTATAATTTTAAATCATGATAGAGAGCGTACTTGTCCAACAGAAAAAGAGCTTACATATTCAATACTTTAAAATTATGAGAAAAGGCCTTATAATACCGTAAAAATGGGAAAGGGAAACTGGAAATAACTCATGGATAAACAAATTATGCTATATCCATACCGTAAAATGAAGTATGAAGTTCATGCAATAACATGTACAAATTTCTGTAATAATATACTGAGCAAAGAAGCCAGACACAAACAAATTACTATGTAATTTTGTTTATGTGAAATTACAGAAAAGGCGAAATTAATCTATGAAAACAGAAAGCAGATTAATGGGTGCCTGGGGGAGAAGGTAAGAATAGGAAATTGATAGCAGAGGATCATGAGGGAGCATTTGGGGGATGATGGAAATGGTCTCTATCTTGCTAATGGTGGCTGTTACTCAGGTGTATACACGTGTCAAAGTCATGGAACTGTACACTTAACAGTACACTTAAAATATTATGATTTAGTGTATGTAAATTATACCTCAAGGAAATTGATTTTTTTAAAGCTGTAGCTAATGCATAAATGGAGGATAAGAGTATTTACAAATATTTGAAATAGCTATTTTTTGACTGCTTGAATTTTAATTGTTATTTCATAATTTTCCCAAATTTTCACTATAGCTCTACATAGCTCTTAAATATAATAAACGCTAGTTTTAAATAGATGGCAGGTCCATCTTTTGCAATATTATTCTATCATTCAACTCATGTCTGTGGAGAATTTTTAAAAAGGCAGAAAAATACTCATGGTCTCTAAGGAGGAAGCAAAACTGTATTTATTTTAAGGTCCTAATTTAGCAAATATATAGATATGTACATATTTATTCTTGTTTATATGTTTTCAAATATCTTACAATAAACATGCACTGCTTTATAATGAGAAAATGGGTTTTAAAGTAAAATCTTTTATTCTGATATGCCAGTTGGAGTGGATATTTCCTAACAACTAATATGAAAGCTTTTAAATACAATTGCATTTTGAAAACAGAATGGCTTTACCTCTAGAGATATTTTAATTCTAGCCATAATGCTATAATTTTAAAGTATAAGCTCATCAATGGGCATTTATTATTATATCACGTGTAATTTGGTGTTGCATTTGTATTGTAGTTCTGCCTTTGCATGATATATATAGACATTGTAAATGCCTGAAGATAACTGAAAACCTATAGGTGTTATATGACAATGGAGTGATTTTAACCTATAGTCTTATTTAGAACCAAAGAGTTACAATAGGACAGGACTTCACAGACTGTCCAGGTCAGTTTCCCTGTTTCATAGATGAGGATGCTCAGGGCCAATGACCAAGTCAGTTAGAGGCAGGGCAAATTCCCATGCCAAGGGATCACCTATCAGATTTTGCCATAATGTGATAGGGTATGCCTGAGTTTGATGATTCCCTTCAAATTCTCCTCTTTCTTTATTCATACTTTCTTCAAATAATTTATCTCACTATATATTCAGACAGATCAGTATAACATCTTGCAATTAGTTACTCATTAATAAATAAAGCAAAAACATTTTGCGTACATTTAAGGCTTCTACTTGTGGCTGGTCTTCACCTTCATTAGAAAATGTGTGGATGCCAAGAAAAGGAAGTTCTCATATAGACACAGACAAAATTCCAGAAGAAAGCAAGGAGAAAAAATGAAGAAGATAAAGAGAGGTGACTTAAATGCAGTATTCAGGACATAAAACGAATATCGAATGTTTATTATGTTCCAGGGGCATCTCCAAGTTCTTTAAAATTTGAATCAATACCCTCACCATTCTAATGAGGTTGATACTATTGTTGTCACTCTTGTATGAGTAAAGTCATTGAGGTACAGCGTGGGTAGATGTCTGTGCTCAAGGTCACACAGCAATGAGTGGTGCCCTAATAATGTAGCTACAAGCAGAGCTTCTACCCTTAACCATAGAGGCTAAATTGTCTTTTTAAACTACTAGCTTGTTTGGTTTCGGTGAAGTTTAGTATTCCCAGTTTGACCGTATCAAAAACAAGAGGTAAAGTACTTGGTGATGTGCTTTCTTAATGGCAATTATTTCAGCTAGCTTTAGTAAAGCTTCGTGAACAAATCCAGTGTGAGACCTAGTACCAAGTGTGGGAAGGTTTGAGGAAATAACCTCCTTTAGAGCTTTTTGGAAGAGCAGTTTAATAAAAGCTCACAGTATTATTATTGGTTTCAGAATTTTTTTCTCCCATAATTCTGTCACACAATAATAATCTGCCATTAATGATGAATGGGTTTATTACAGTTTAAAGAATCATCTCTACATGTGTAACATCTCAATCATCTGAACAATCCTAAAATGGATTGTAATACGATTACTATTTTTTATTACTACAGTTATGTTGTAGTTTAGAAGTATGGTCCTGAAACTTTAGTGTGCATGAGAAGCAGCTGCAGGGACTGTAAGAACACAGATCACTGGACCTAGCTCTGAGTCCGGAGGTTTTGAGTCATGATTAGAAAGCATTTTCCTACTCTCAGGTGATACAGGAATTCACCATCAACAATAATACTTGTATAGTTTCATATTATACATTTAGATCTTTTTGTTGTTAGGTGCATAATTCAGTAGAGTAGCAGCATATAACAATCATTAAGCATGTAAATATGCAAATCACAACTAGTTAAGAGATACTCTATTTGTTTTGTTGGTGTAAGTTTATACAAGGAGATTAGAAATCAGATGGTCACCATTGCTCTCTGGTTGGAGATCTGATGCATTTATTTTAACAGAATCAGGAATTCTTCAACTGGACGATATCTTCTTTGTGGTTCTAGTACAGAGAATGATAGCGAAAAACTAATGAAATGCTTTTGATTAAAAAAATAAACTGAAATTCATTTCGCAGTGATAAACACAAATACGCATGGGGCTCATATTATTAATAATTTTATCTTCTGAGCTGATAAAAAATATTTCACAAGAGGATGGGCAAGATAAATCTTTCAATTAACTAAAGATAAGTTTCCAATTTATGTTGTTCTGAAGTAATATTATGTTAATTTAATTTTTGGAAAAGGAAACATATACATATTTGCCCTATTTTTTTTTTCTTTGAGGTACATGTGGTATATTCTCATTTAGTCCTTGCATGCACATACAACTTCACATAGTCGAAGCATAATGTCTGCTCAATTTTATATACTGCTTTTTTTCAGTTAACATCATATCCTAAACCTTTGCAGTATTTGTACCGTCTTCATAATTAATATTGTCAGTAGCTGCTTAGAATTCCATTAGATTGTTTCAGCATACTTTTCTTAGCCCCTTCTTTATCGCTGCAGTAGTCTTACTATTCTGCCCATTTCCACTTTGCTAATATTCAATCAGTTTTCCAGGCATTAGCGTCAGTAATCTTTTAGAAATGATATCAGATCCTCATATTTCACTGATTGAAATTCTTCCATGTATTTCCTTTGAACTGTGAATAAAATTTAAACTCCTTACCAAGACCTACAGTGCCATGCATAATTTGTTTTTCATCTGCCTTTCAGATTTCTTACCACGTCTTTGTCCTTCCTCTCTATGATCTGGCCACAAGAGCCTCTTGGAGCTTCTCAGAATTACCATTTTCTTCCCTCATACCATAGCTCATACTATTGCATCTCTCTGTAGCAAGACTCTTCCCAAATCTTCACCTTCAGACACCTGAAAGGTCACTTCTTCAGATTCCTTCCTTGACCACCCTCTGTTATTTTCAATTAAAACACTATTGATTTAATATACCTTCTAAGTAATTCTGATGCATATTAAAGTTTGAGAATCATTCATCTAGGAAATTGCTGTCCAGTAAGAAAATCACGTGAGCCACATATGTAATTTAAAATTTTCTGTAGCCATGCTGAAAAAGTCAAAGGCAAGAGTGATATTAATTTAAAAATATATTTTATTTACTTCAAGCAATCTAAAATATTATTAGATCATGTAATCAATATAAATAATTATTGAGATAGTTTATGTTATTTTTTATATTGTCTTCAAAATCCTGTGTGTAGTTTACACTTAACCCAGCTCAATTTGAATATTAAACTTCTATCACAAAATCTTATTTCTGGATTTTAATTTCATAAAATTTACAGTTGAAAAAGTAGATGTACATACCAAAGTTTTTCTAAATATAGTTAAAAGTTT